ATTATTTATTTATTTATTTTTTGTTCAGACAGGTGAGGCAGCAGTTTTTCCCATTTTTTATGTTTGGATTTACATATTTACACATATGTATTATTTACATAATACATAAATCAGATTTGTTTGGAAATGTATTTAATTCTGATCAGTAACATTGCATTGTTCTCCTAAAATTAACTTGTTCACTTTTTTCTTTGATAAAGTACATACATGTTGAGTCTAGGGCTGGGCGATATGGCCAAAAAAAATGATCACGATAATTTTTTTTAAATCAGTCGATATCGATAATTATCACGATATATGTCAAATATTTATTTTTTCAAGTTTAAAGGCATATTTTTGCAACTAAGTGAAAGTTGTATAAAGCAGAGTGTTAATTGTGTTTTTAAACTACTCTTTAAATTTATGTTCATTAACAAAAACAGTAACATCTGTTTTTTTTTTTTTTTCTTATGTAACAACCACATTTTTATTTGGTAAAAAGTAATATTCTGACTGTTTGAGTTGTATTCAAATTAACCATTGGTCATCCAGTATCATGCATTTAGATCATGATAACCACAGATAAAACCAGGTATAGCCTATAACTTAGCTCCTCACTATCATGGCATAACTTGATGGTTTCTGTATTTTTAGTTTGAAAAACAATAGCCTAACAGTTAAATACATTATTAAATACTGTACTTATATTCCATTAGTCATAATACATTGTCTACATTAATAATATTATACAATTCAATATGTATACCCCACATTTCATGGTGCAGTTAATATTACCAGGCTAACCTTACAGTAAATCCATGGTAGGCTAAATGGATTCAGTATCAATTCAGATTCTGACTGGATCGTTGCACGTTGCAGTGTTTCTCCTTTTTGTCAGCGGTGTTTCATCTGCCTTTAAACTGGTTTAAACTTCACATTTGTGTTCTTCGCTGAACTCAAGTGCTTCTCACTGGATCTCGTGAGCAAAACGATCAGAGGCGCGTCTGCGTGAGCTCGCGCTCCGCTCAATGCACTGCCATTTGGACTTTGACCCGAGCGGATAAATGCTCCGTGTGGCGCGCGTGGTTTAAATGAGTTTCGTTCCGCTTTTGACGCATAAACATTATCGAACATTTATCGACCTCTTGATATTGTTTTATCGAGGAAAATTATATCGCGATAATTATCGTTATTGTTTTATCGCCCAGCCCTAGTTGAGTCTAAAACTTTTATATAGCAACCACATCATATTTGAGTGCTGTTTGAACAAAACCTAAGAATGAAGAAGAAATTTATTATAAGAGACATTACTAAATTTTCAGTTACTTGCTGAATTCAAAATAGTGACCTTCCCTGACTGATTCTTAGGTACCGGAGGTGGAAGCTGGGGGATGACATTGACCTCATGGTCCGCTGTGAGCATGATGGAGTGATGACCGGAGCAAACGGAGAAGTCTCTTTCATCAATGTCAAGACCCTGAATGAGTGGGACTCCCGAGTAAGAAACAAAGAGAGACGGATAATTGCATTTAGCCATTTCAGAGAGACAGGTGATATAATTCTTTGCTCTGTACAGTACTGCAATGGAGTGGACTGGAGACAGAAACTGGATTCCCAGAGGGGAGCGGTTCTGGCCACAGAGCTGAAGAATAACAGCTACAAATTGGCCCGTTGGACCTGCTGTGCTATTCTTGCGGGATCTGAGTACCTCAAATTAGGGTGAGTACAATACCGCCGTCTCTACATTATTTGTTGTGTTATTTTGGTTTCTTATATTGAGTCTTTTCCTGTCCGATTTCTCACTACATGTCCTTTTCTCTTTAGGTACGTCTCCCGTTACCATGTTAAGGACTCGTCTAGGCACGTTGTCCTTGGTACACAGCAGTTCAAGCCCAATGAGTTTGCCAGCCAAATTAACCTGAGCATGGAGAATGCTTGGGGCATCCTGCGCTGTGTGATCGACATCTGTCGCAAGCTGGAGGAGGGCAAATACCTCATCCTCAAAGACCCGAATAAGGTAAAGTAAAACTTGTTGCACTGCAGAATCGAAATTTGACATGCTTAAGCACAGCAAGATTCTGCAGAATCTATCAAACATTTTTTGTTATAAATAGGGCTGGGTATCGTGACACAATTTTCGCTACCGATACCATATTGATACCTTGATTTAAATACCGATTCCTGAATGATACTTTTTATTTATACCAATTTTATGAAATCCGTTTTAACAATATTGCATGACCTAAAAAAACAACCTTTTTTTACATTCATATTTTGCATCTGTAAAAAAGCACCAATGCTAAATTTTTCTGTTTCCTAATCATTTAGCCTCATGTATTCTTTTCTTCAATGAGCTCATTGTTTCTGCCTTAACTTAATGCATTGTTTAACAATGAAACTGAGTGAAAATTAATATAATTTACACAGTCACCTCTTACCCCTTTTCCACCAAAAAAAGAAATAGTTCGGAACTTCGCTTCCACTTCCTATTTGTTTTTCCACTGACTAGAGCGTCCAGGGAACGACGTCGTTACGTCACTGTGTACATTGCCATACGTATTAGCTAAAAACGCTTGCAAATACAACATTACTTTGGGAATATCTCTAACTCGTGTACCAAGAAGGCTTTAAAAACAATTGAAATATTTAAGTCTTTTAATCTTTTCGTTTGATATGTAATCTTTTCTGACAAGTTATGTACCACTGTCTTGTGTCTTTTTTTTCTTTCCATTTATTTGTTCCATATTGTGACTGTTATAATGTCTTCAATAAAAAAAAATACAAAAATAGAAACGCTTGCGTTAACTTCAAGCATAATAATTACAAAGGCGGACTCCCTCGTGTTTCTGCAAATGTTTCTCTTGGCTTTGCGATCCTTTATTATGGTCAGAAAAGATGTTTAGAACACATCTAACATGTGCACGTAAGCATGACGTGGTAAAAGAACGGTGCTAGTCCAGCAAAGAGTTGGTGCCACTTTGGAACTAGTTCTCCTGGCCGAGAACCGGTTCTTTGGCTGTCGAAACACAAAGAACTGGTTCGCTCGCAGGCACCAGCTCCGAACCGGCTCTCAAAATGCTTTGGTGGAAAAGGGGCTTCTGATAATAGATTACTCTAAATTGTAATTTAGACACGCATTTTCTGAAAAAATGCTATACAAATCAATGTGAATTGAATTAAATATAGGCTACTGGGGTGCGGGACAAATGCTTCACGCTCGGCACACAAAGTTTGCCGCAAAGCACAGGCGAGAGTAGCCTAATGATTGTGGATGTCGGGAAAAAATAGCGAGGATATATTTGAATTAATAAGTGTTTTCTGCAGTAGTGAACGCGTGCACCTATATGGATTACATTAACTATTTATTTCCAGTTGTTTCATTTAAAAGTATACATATTTTCACCGTCTATAGGCCTATTTCTGATGTCTGTGAGGCAAGTATCCTATATGCTGAGTTTCGGTTCATTTGTGATGCGCTCCAGTTCTTGCAGTCAAAGACGGATACATTTTCTACTCAAGTGCATTCTCTGCACTTTTAAGTGCCCTATCAGATTTATCTTGTCGCCGGTCTTGGCAGCAATTATCTTGTCAAAAATATTGCATCGCGTGCTTCTGGCATCGAGTCTGGTACATAGGTAGGTACACTTTTTATTTTATTGTCCACGTATTTATCTGAATCTATCTATCTGGGTTGGGACACTTACACACACACACACACACACACACACACACTACAGCCTTGCGTGCGACGAGCCACGTCTCTGGGCAACCTCGTAAACTAGTGTTTTTCCACCACAGCCAATCATGCTGCATGCTTGTTTCACTAACATTGACAAGATTAACCCCTTAGGTATCTAAATTTGGTACCGAAAAACAAGACCTGTTTCGATACTCGATAGTATCGAGGCAATTAAGTCGGTACCTAAAAAGTATCGAAAGCCCTAGTTATAAACAAATCTTCAGTAGAAATGAATTGTACTGTTTTACACACCTGCATGGTGTTAATTTTAGCTGTAATGCTGTGCCAGTAGGAGTCACCTTGGCAACATCAAAGTATTTCTTAGCCACAATCTAGGTATATGCATAACACTTTTTTTTGTGTGTTCCTTAATAGCAAGTAATTAGGGTGTACAGCCTGCCTGATGGAACCTTCAGCTCAGATGAAGACGAAGAGGAGGAGGAGGAGGATGAGGAAGAAGATGAAGAGGGTGAGGATAGCTGATTGTTTGTCACTTCAATATGTTTATCCATATGTTTTATCTGGTTACCTTTTGTTTCTTAAATATTTTTTTTATTTCTTCCAACAGATGAAGACAATTAAGGCGTCATTAACTACCACAGCTGCAAGCATTATGTGTTTCAATGCTGTAAGAGCTGAATAAAGATGGTTGATTATACATGTAATGTGGTGATGTCTCTGTCGGTTTAACCTTTGCAAGTTTAATTATTATTATAGATCAGGGCAATACAAATGGCCTTTCTTTTAAGAATTCACTCTGAAAAATCTTGCCATTTAATCTTATTTGTTAAAACAGATTCCTCAGGAATAACATACCTTGTACCTGTGAAGTGAAATGCATAAATATAAATGGTCTGACATTTAAGTTCTGCAGGTAACACTGTAATTAAATATAGCTGCTAAATAGTTTGTTTTTGGCCCTAAAATAAACTAGATACAGTATGCCTCAGCCACACTGTTGATGCTTAACAAGTCATAAAGAATAAATGCATATTTATTGATAAGGTGGTAAAAGAAATAGTAAAGGCAGATATTTAAAAACATTCTTTAAAGAAAATAACAGTAATAGTTACAATTTAACTTCTTATTTTAATATATTTTGAAGTGTAATTGTATTCCTGTTTAAGCTAAATTGTCAGTATCATTACTCCAGTTACTCCATTACTCCTCATTTCTTATAATCGGTGTTGAAAACCGCTTAATATTTTTGTGAAAATTGTGATGCATTTTTATAGGATTCTTTGATGAATAGAAAGTTTGAAAGAACAGCATTTATTAAATATGAATATTCAAGGTTTAACTTTATTAAGATCCCTTGCGGGCAATTTGGGTGTAGTGTAGTAGACATACATAAAATACACACCACAAAATAAAACGAGACAAATAAAAGAAATAAGAACACACAACAGTACATATAAATTTATAATACGAATATTTACACTTCAGAGTATGCTGTCATTTTAAACTGATTTTATGTCCTTAATATAATTTAATGTCCCTTTGGGGTGCATAGCCAATGGGGCTCTTCAGAAACCCTGATGGTTTGTTTGGAAGGTTTTAGCATTTGAATTACCATTAAATAGTGTTTGATTTCCACTGGGAGGAAAAAAAAAAACAATTGTTCTGTTTCTTGTGACTAGTTTTGCTTTGTCTTGGTGTTCAAGTGCCAGATGAAGCGTGAAACACAGTAAAACACATCTCCTTTTGTGCCACAGTGAATGTGTTCTTCCAATCTCCAACAGTACCACAAAACAAATACAACAGCGCGTAAGTGAAAGATACAGCTTGTTTATACATTCCACGATTGGGATTTTTGAACATTGACCTTTGTGCATGATTTGGGGCTTAAGTAATAGATCTTGTGGGATGAATTCATTGTTTGCCTTTGGGTCCTGTGTCATGTTTTTAAAAGTGGCCATCTCCACAATATGTGCGATAGTATTATCATCCAGATTTTTCCCACTGCTGTCCTGAACGTGGACCCAAATGCATTAGTATCAAAATAAATCTTTAACAATCTGTATTAGGGTTGGGAACCGAGAACCGGTTCTTTTCCAGAACCGGTTGTGTTTTTGAAAAAATACCGGAACCGTGCAAAATTCCTAAGTTTCGGTTCCGAAAACGGTTCTGATGCCGATGCGATATCATCATGTGGGCGAAGTGCTGGGAGTAGAAGACGCCGTCTTATTCCTAAATGACAAAAACTTCACCACTGAAGTTGCGATTTGCTCTCACACGCGCTGCATTTGTCACTCACAGACACACGCACGCTGCGCGCGCCGACCGCCAAGTCACTCTCTAGCCTACATTCAAATCTGTTTGCGCTGAGAGAGAGAGAGAGAGAGCAGTTGTCGATATGAAACTGCTTTACAATCACACAGTCTCAATATTTATTTGTTTCACATATTCAAATGATTTCCGTTACAGAATTAGTGAGATTATAGTTTGAGTAAACATTGACGGTAGTGGTCAAAACAGATGCAGTCCGTATATTTTTTGTGTTCAGAATTTACAAAATATATACAATGAGCGAGTGCATCATAATGTTTTTTTTTTTCAAAGCGTGTTTTTGTCTTATCTTGAATCACTACGTAAAGCCTGTAATAAGCGTTAATACTCGGACTTCTTTAGACTGGCCGGCGGATCGCAGCTGCTGCGGAGTAACCCAATGCCTGCGTGACTCGTCATGGACATAAACAGAGAGAAGTAGCTCCGGCAACAATGTTCTTCCGCAAGACGCATTTCTGTTTATTAACTGCTAGAGCGCCGATTTATCCAGTAATGAAATAAGTAAAGTCTTTATGAATCAATCATTCAAACCGTTTTAAAAAATAATCTGTTCTACACACATATGTGTGTTAAAGCATATACTATTCCTTCTGAGAGGGTATTCTTCACTGTTGGAGATACAATAAAGGAGAGGTCTAAATTATTATAGAGAATGCAGAATTTTTTAATTTCCTTTATATATATATATTTTTTTTTTTTTGCAAAGATTGCTTAATAATATTTTGAGTTTGTTTACATAACCAGTCTGTTAAACTAATTTGTCATGTACTATAAGAAATAAACACAAAAAGGATTGTGGATTTTTCTCTTACTAATATTTTTAATTGAATGGGAACCGGAACCGGAACCGGAATCGTTTGGCGGAACCGGAATCAGAACCGGAACCGGAAAATTTCTCACGATTCCCAACCCTAATCTGTATTAAAGAGCATTCTGCAAATACTGAAATATTATGACCATGTCCTCATGTGTCAGGAAAAGGATGTTGTACTGCCCTCTGTTGGATGTGATTAAACCAAGATAAACTGCTAGCTAAAACACAAGGTAAGAATTGATTCTTCTTTTACACCTTACACACACACACACACCCTTTGTGTCACATTAGGGTTGATAACGCAGAAGCCTGAACATTAGGGATACCAAGTCAATGTCCAAACATTTTTTAAAACATACTCTGATGTGCTGTTAGTCTAACTTTTTCCTGTTAGATACTGCTTTGAAAGTCTTCAAAGCTCTTGGGAGTATCAACTTTGGCCCAGATGTGGGAAAAGAGGAAGAGAGCATTTAAAAGACACGAGGAGCAATGAGGCTTAGTCCAAACAAAAGCATTTCTAACATTTGATTATACATGTGGCTTACACAAACACAGTAATAGTCCGGTCTGCCTTCACGGTACTCTAACCACAGCATTTTCTCAAGATTGTTGGGATTTTTTTTTTTGTCTGTTTTGTCCTCGCATATTAATGTTATGATGTTCTGTGTCCATATTGTAAGCCTACCTGCAAAAAATTGGTTCAGTATGTAAACAACTAAATAATTCACACACTCGTATATCTTTATTGTTGGCAGCAAATTTATCAGACAGGGACCAGTTGTCATGCAATAGCTAAAGTTTCATCTATTTTGTTTATTTTTTCATAATGCGTTGTCATTAGTTAGAAAAGGGGAGAACAAAGGGAATTAAAAGTGGTGTTAGAACATTGTTAGTTCTTAAACTAAACAGCATAAATGTTCAATAATTAATTTTCAGTAACAACGGGCTTGGTCTTAGTTTGTACTTTGGATATGACAGTAAAATAGGTTGTAAACAGCCTGATCAGAACTGACGCACTATTGCGCTGACAATGTACAGAGAGAATAGCATTTAGATAAGAGGACAGATGAAATATGTCACTGTCCAAACGAATTCTGCTGTAACAGACGTACCTAACAGTAATCACGATTTTATTTTATAGAGAGCAGCACAATTGACTGAACAGGCTGGACGAGAATGGATCAGATAGAGGTATCACACAGTCATGGTCAGTAAAGAACCAGTTCTTGCATAGTAATGAGTTAAACTATGGTTGCGTTGTAAAAGTATCCACAGGAAAAATGTATTAGTCAATGTTGTTTGTATAATGCATTTGATGTCTTAGAAAGTAGACTTTAACTGTCACAGATATACTATTTACACTACTGATCTAACCAATTTGACTACGTTTTCTTATGGGATTATTTAGAGATAATTTAAGACATGTATTCGTCAAATTCAGTACAAGTAACACCGTAATTATAGTCAAACAGATTTGTCTTACTGCTATCAAATTTACCTAACAGCTTTGAAGTCAGTCATGGCAGTGAAATAAGGCCAAAGTTACATTCATCAGATGTTTGGTCAACAGAGGTAGTAGACCTATAGTATGTGATATTTGTAACGCTTAATAAAATAGACCTCTAAACCTCCAAATCGAAAAGTCATGCATCACCAAATAAAAACTTAAAGTAATTAGTGTCTGTCTTCAGACCTGGTGTTTGCTCATTATACAATATTATTATCGAGGGAGCAATAATGTCAATAGGCAGCAGCAGCTGATATTCACACAACTTTTTTATTACTGTCTTTATTGCTACTGATTAAAACCAAACAACACAAAAAGCAATGTAACTTAAACAGCATGGTAAATGAAACCACTCATATGGGAGGTGGGAGAATATTATTTATGTGTAATATTTACTAAAATAGCTACAGTGGCTTTAATATTACATTTATTTAAGTTTGTCCTATCATGTAAGTGATGCAGTTTACAGTCAGCTAGTCATTAAAATAAACCTGACAACAAATATGATTATGTGGGAATTAAGTACTGGTTTGAGGTCAAATTATTTTATAATTTCCCTGGTATATTTTAAGGGAAAAAATGTTAAGAAAAAAATAGCCCATTGCAATATACTAAGTCATCCTTGTAACAAGACAAACACTATAATAATATATTTGCCTGTCATACATAATTGAAACGGGTGACTGGTCAGATTTCTGTAATAATACTAACAATAAACTGAATGTGTTTTAAACACACAGTAACCAGGTTTATATATATCATCAACAAATCCAATTTGTTTCAATCTCATACACATATTAGCCATACTTCTCATTCATTTTAGTTGTAAATGTATTTATTTTTTTCAAAATGTTGATTCTTAATTTGATTTCTTTGAGTGAATCTTATGTTTCTTACCTATTTTGTTACAATTTACAAATATGCATCACTTTAGTTTATTAGTTTATGTTAAAACAGTAATCCAAATGGATATATATTTTATATGCAATGAAGTATATTAAATTTAGTTCTAGAGTGGTGTAAAAAAAAATCAATTAGCCTTTTTTTGTTGTTGTTGTTGTTGTTGGTGGTTTTTGTTTTGTTTTTGTTTTTGCTCTGACAATACTATATTTTTTCACGTCTATATCTTTCTTTTTTCCACAGAAGAAGGGATTAATTTATCTTACTCTCCCAAACTGAGATTGGTCCTGATTGGAGTGACAGAAGCTGGGAAAAGTGCTGTTGGTAATGCCATTCTGGGCAAGAAAGCCTTTGATGAGGTTGGGGTAAAGACTCGAGCAAGTTTCTCGTGTCAGGGTCTGGTGAGAGGACAGCAGGTGCTTGTTGTTGACACCCCGGGTTGGGAATGGTTCAACATCAATGGCTCCTCTGCATCAGTATGGACGGTGAAGAAGGAGATAATGAGGAGTATGAGTTTTTGCCAGCCTGGTGCCCATGCCCTGCTGCTGGTGGTACCACTGTCATTTACATTCTCCCAGCGTGAGTGCCATGCCGTGGAGGAACACGTTGAGCTGTTTGGTCCAGAAGCCTGGAGTTGCAGTTTGGTGCTCTTCACAGTCTTAGACAGAAAACAGTTACGTGGTACCACCCTAAAGCAAGAAGTGAAGTTGAACGTGGAGCTAAACAGGCTGGTTGAGAAATGTGGAGGCCGTTTTCATGCGCTGTACAGCAATCTTAAAGAAGGTGAGAACCAGGTGGATGAACTTCTGGCCAAGATCACAAAAATGATGGCTAACAATGGAAGTACTATGCTCTCCAGTGAGACGGTACTGGAAAAGGCCAGCGAAATGGAGAAAGAAGAGGAGAGAAGATTGGAGGAAGAGCAAAAAAAGAGGGAAGAGCACATAGAGAAAGTGAGAGAGGCATTGAAGGCAAAGGAATTAAGAAGGTCGAGAAGGAGAAAAGACCAACAGATATTGGGCGGTAAGATCAATTAATTAATCTTCTTGATTGTTTAACCCATTCAGACTCTGTGTCCATTACAATGGACATCACATGTCAGCCCCCTTTTTTTAACTTCTGGAGCATTTCACAATGGACAAAAATGGAGCAAAAATGGAGGCTCTAGACCCTTCCAGAGCTGAGATATGGACATCCCATGTAGCATTTATGCCATTATAAAAATAGTGGGTTTGTGGACGGTGGAATTATGGGATGGCGCTTGGTACCACAGACTCAGGGGGTCCCCCTGAGTGCAGTTAAATAGTTTTTATCATGACAGGAACTTTAATTAAAATGTCTATCAAAAACAGTACCCGAATCCCTATTCAATAGATTGCCGATGGGACCGCGTCCAATTGCAGCATATTGAATGAACTGCGGAAAAACTTTAAAAAATATAGTGGGTTATTGGACAAATAGTGGGCTTGTGGGATGGGGGCGTAGCCCGGTAGTGGTCCCGGGACATTTGGTAAATATAGTGGGTTATTGGACAAATAGTGGGTTCGTGGGACGGGATTATATATATATTTTTTCATTTGTTTTAATTTATAGAAACCTCATGAGCTGGTAAAATGTACTTTTATATTTTTCAGAAACTTGAAATATAATTCAGGTTTGAGGGGGTGAAAAAAAGGAAAAGGTGGAGTTATATTTGTGAAAAAAGTACTGAACACAAGTTAAATGAGAATAAAAACCTCAAATATGGCTATATTTTATTATTTATACTTTTATATTTTAGCTTGATAATGACAGTTTTTAGATAATTAATTGTTCTATGCTTTCAAAAAATACAGATAGATAGATCTGTTAACTAGTGTGTGCTGCTCGAAAATGCCAGCGGTTGATTTTGTTTAGATTAGTTTGGAATAATTTTCGTTGGTGAAGCAAAAACAGACCAAGTAACTGAATATTACATAAAATGTGAGTAACAAGTTTATCAAACTCACTGATTAACTGTGGCTTCATGACTACAGCCAAATTATGAACAGCAGCACTCTTGCTCATGTCAAAGTCAATCCGCTTAGGATGTTTTTCTTGTTTTCTACAGATGAGGAACAGAAAGCCTCGGCTAGATACAATAATAACAATGACCTGCCTAGCAGTGGCAGAAGTAACTTTCTTCAGAGCTGCAAACAACAATGAACAACGTAAATGACCCCAGGATGAAACAGTCATATCCACCCCTGCAACTTCCACAACTCACCACCAGAAACCAGCCCATCATCATTTCTCATCTGTAGTACCTGATACTACAGAGTGAACCTGAAACATCCAAAGCAACTTAAACATGAAAAACACAAACATGCTTAGTCACTTTATTTATTTACATAATTATTGTTAATGATTTACAAAATCAAAGCTCGTAATACATTGTTGTAATGTTTTGCATTCAAACATTTCCTTTTTTTTTTAAAGGCTCTATCATGGTAACTAAAGAATATATCATGAAATTTTAAACAATTTAAAACTGCACAAATATGATTTCCACAATGTTCTGCTCTGCTTTTACCAGTTTGGGGGATTTAATTTTAAATTGAAAAATAAATTAAAATTGTACAATTCTAAATTGAACCAGGGGTTTTCTGTGACATTTTAAAAGTTAAACCGTTTGTAATTAAAATGTATTAAAAAATTCCTTTAATATGCAAAAGCTGTTATTTTCTTCTTTTCATGCTTGTCTTTGACAAAATTAGTTTTCAATCCACTGCTACAATCAGTCTGCATCTTTCAGAATTTCCTTTTATGCATATACACTCAATTTTATAATATTACGTGTTGTAAGTAAATATTACTGTCAGTGTTTAACTGAAGCAATCGAAACAGTCACACCCCAAGAGCAAATAACATGTGATAAACAGCAGATACATTCACAGTGATACAAATAAGGTGTAACCAGGCCACTTAAACAGCCCATTATCATCCATAAGCCATTGACACATAAGGCGCACACATAAATTCAATGTGATATTTGACAGTGTAAATCATATGTACACAAAGTTTTCAGCTCAGACTTCCACTAGTATGCAAGGATTTTTAACTCCCAAAACATTCATTCAAAACATTCATTTGCCATGTGCCAAATATCAAGATCTCAGTAATGCTTTTATTTTACAAAAATTAATTATTACCAAACCAGAAAGATTGGAGAAAAAAATTGAACATTTGATTAGTGTTTGAGGACAGCAGGTCTAACGGTTGGTATACATTGATGCTCATCTCAATCTTGAAACATACTTTTTAAAGCTTTTTTAAGGAAGAAAAAGTTGCTCCAACACTTCCTGACTCTTTCTAAACCTCCAAATTCCTATGCATAAGGAATCATGGATCTTCTGCCAGGCTTCCAGTTCAGATTTCCATAGAGCTGCTCTGGAGCGGATAAGCAGAGAGGCCTCGCTCTTGCTCCCTTTGGCCAGACTTATACTGTCTTTGCAAATAAAAATCACATCTAAACCAATAAAGAGGGCATTTAGAGTGATGAATCCAGCTCTAGCAGACTTTGAGAGAGCTAGTGGCGTCCCTTTTGCCAGCTGGCCAATGTCGGGAAGGTCTGCTGCCAGTTTGGGAATGCTACGAGCACTTTGTGCTTCCTGGAGCCCGACCTTTGCTGCAGTAGCAATCACCTCGTCAGTTTTGAGTATTTTAACAGCTGAAGCTGCATCTACCAAACCATCAATACCTTTGGCCACACCTCCTGCACAAGCTATCAACTTTCCTGCTTTAAACATATCCACAACATTAGGTTCCTCTATATGCTCCTCACTACCGGCCTGCTCCAGACAGTCTAAAATCTTCCCCACATCATCCATGTATCTCTGAAAAATGTTCTGTGCATTTTTCCCATGGTGACAGTTGACTGCTGCTTCAGTGATGCCTGTGACTATGCTATTGACTCCACTGGTCACGCCCAGACCGACACCTGTCAGAGTGAGAGCCAATGATACTCCTGCAGTGACAGGGGCGAGAGCAAGACCAACAATGGACAAAATACCCCCTGCCACCCCAACCGAACTTCCAGCCACAGTGGAGATACTGGCCCCCATCTTCATCTTGTCCAGCTGAACTGCATTCTCCTCCAGGTCTGACAGGAACTTCTCCATTCTAGAGCAACACTTGCTGAATAAACCAATGAAGTGCAGAGCGTGGTCCTGAAAAATGAAGGCCAGCTTTGTGTTGTGGTCCACCCTAGAAAAAAAAATACAGTTTACAGACAAATTACACAATGCACCAGAGTGTGAAGAAAACACCGGATCATAAGAACTGGTCTCACCTTATTTTGCACAACTGCTTCAAATGATCAAGCATTTTTTCCATGGAGTCCTCACTTAAGTTCAAGCTGAACTTCACAGGTTGAGCCTTCTTACTGTTAAGAGTTAAAGTAGGGTTAACAAAGGCTATATTTTAGAGATTATCATAAAAGCAAATATCTTAAAAGCAAACATTTAGATATCTTAAAGCAAAAAAAAAAAAATCTTACCTCATTATTACCCCATGATATTTATAATACTTACCTAGAAGTATCGCCAGTCCACAAAAAACTCTTGGATCTGTGGGGAAGGGGAGGACAAATGCCATTATTTGCCGTTTTAACATGTTTATCAAATTACTATCCTTTTAAATGAACATTGCATGAATGTCAGTACTAACTTTTTCTCCATTCTCTCGCAGATCTTTTCTGTGATACGTATATATTTGTCTAACTGAAAGGCTAGGACGTCCAAGTTGTTGAGTGAAGGAAGGAAGAAGGTTTCTGCATTTCGTTTAAAGTGGATAAGGAGAGGAGAGGCCATTCTGGCAGCTGTGATGACTGATCTCACACTTTCAGGACTCTCACCCTTTGGCAAGAAGCTCCGGCCAGTGAAGACAAATAGTGAGGTGACTGTGAGCTTCTCCACTGCATCCAGGAAGTGGTCAAGTTTCTCCAAACCATCAAGTGTGTCCTTCAGGACAGCACCCAGTTCCTTCTCCAGCTCCTGGAGTCTGGAGTCAGCCTTGATCTGAGTTAAACCACTCCACAAGTACTCCCCAAAAGCCTTGGTTTTGTTCTCTGAGCGCTGAACATGGTCAAACTTAAGACTGACTTTATCTGCTTGGTCCTTGATGTCTCTCATCTTCTCCAGCTCTGTCTCTCTCTGAAGGGTCCATTTTTGTTGTTTGTCACAGAAGTCCCTCACGGTCTGAATGTGGTTGAGTGTGTCCTCTACATACTCCGACAGGAGCTCCTGTAATTGTTCCCTGTGCCAAAACAGAACAATTTACATAGTAACAATTATATTTCCTATCTAAATAAATATGAGATAAATGCATTTCAAAATAATTTAATCAGCAGTTTAAACTACTTAGTAGGTACTTCTGAGCAGATTTTCAGAGAAATGTTTTTCCAGACATTCAGAAGAGCTATTCTTGGTAAGTGCAGTTCATATTGAGATGTAAGTTAAGTTGTTGACAACAGTTTGATGTGGTGTGTTTAAATTTTTAAACTCTAAAAATTGCTGGGTTTAAAACAACTCAATTGACAACCCAACGCTGGGTAAATATTGGACACAACACATGGGTTACACATTTTAACCCAACGTCAGTTCATTTAGACCAAATTTTTGACCCCATAAATGGTTATTATTTCCATCTTTCTTGTACCAAATGTTAGGCTAAATATATTTCTTTAATTTATATAAATTATAACTAGGCTAATATATTCAGGGTGGCTACAGGTATAAACAATTTAAATTTAAGACTTTTTAATGACACTTCTAAATTAAATTTAAGACCAAACTTACGATGGAAATATAAATTAAAACTGAAAATATTCAGTAATATTTTCAAGTAAACACACTGTCTGTTCAAAAATATGGTGAAATGACAATAACCAAGTGCAGTCGCCTGTGATGGAGTACAGTGGAGGGAAAAGAAATATAGAAGGCATTTTTATAAATGTCTCAAAAATAATAAAGTAATAAAGGCTTAGATTTAATTTATTAATAAAGGCATATAACCAGTTTATTTGTAGTGTACTGATAATAGTTTCATATGTAAAATGGAGGCTCTAGATCCTTCCAGAGCTGAGATATTGAGACATTTATAATGGCATAAATGCTACGTGGGATCTCAATATCTCAGCTCTGGAAGGGTCTAGATCATCCATTTTTGCACTCAGGTCAAAGTCTCATGGCCCTCTATCAGAATCCAGAGTTTTGAGAAGATTGGAGAAACTTTTTTTTCGCCCCAGAAAAAAAAACGACAGGGGTACCACTGTCGTTTTTTTAAGGGGTCGAAATTTTGAGTTTCTCTGATATTCTTGAAACTCTGTATTCTGATAGAGGGCCATGAGACTCAGACCTGAGTGCAAAAATGGAGGCTCTAGACCCTTCCAGAGCTGAGATATTGGGATATTTATAATGGCATAATGCTACGTGGGATCTCAATATTTCAGCTCTGGAAGGGTCTAGAGCCTCCATTTTTGAAACTCAAAATTTCGACCCGAAATTTACCCCTTTCGTTTTTTTTTCATTTTTGGGCAAAAAATTAAGTTTCTCCAATCTTCTCAAAACTCTGGGTTCTGATAGAGGGCTGTGAGACTTTGACCTGAGTGCAAAAATGGAGGCTCTAGACCCTTCCAGAGCTGAGATATCGAAACTCAAAATGTCGACCCGAAAAAAAAACGACAGTGTTACCCCTTTCGTTTTTTTTTCATTTTTGGGCGAAAAATTAAGTTTCTCCAATCTTCTCAAAACTCTGGATTCTGATAGAGGGCTGTGAGACTTTGACCTGAGTGCAAAAATGGAGGCTCTAGACCCTTCCAGAGCTGAGATATCGAAACTCAAAATTTCGACCCGAAAAAAAAAAACGACAGTGTTACCCCTTTCGTTTTTTTCATTTTTGGGTGAAAAATTAAGTTTCTCCAATCTTCTCAAAACTCTGGATTCTTATAGAGGGCTGTGAGACTTTGACCTGAGTGCAAAAATGGATGATCTAGACCCTTCCAGAGCTGAGATATCAAACTTCAAAATTTCGACCCGAAAAAAAAACGACAGTGTTACCCCTTTTGTTTTTTTTTTTGTTTTTGGGCGAAAAATTAAGTTTTCCAATCTTCTCAAAACTCTGGATTCTTATAGAGGGCTGTGAGACTTTGACCTGAGTGCAAAAATGGATGATCTAGACCCTTCCAGAGCTGAGATATCAAACTTCAAAATTTCGACCCGAAAAAAAAAACGACAGTGTTACCCCTTTTGTTTTTTTTCATTTTTGGGCGAAAAATTAAGTTTCTCCAATCTTCTCAAAACTCTGGATTCTTATAGAGGGCTGTGAGACTTTGACCTGAGTGCAAAAATGGATGATCTAGACCCTTCCAGAGCTGAGACATCAAACTTCAAAATTTCGACCCGAAAAAAAAAACGACAGTGTTACCCCTTTCGTTTTTTTCATTTTTGGGCGAAAAATTAAGTTTCTCCAATCTTTTTAAAACTCTAGATTCTGATAGAGGGCCACGAGACTTTGACCTGAGTGCAAAAATGGAGGCTCTAGACCCTTCCAGAGCTGAGATATCGAAACTCAAAATTTCGACCCGAAAAAAAAACGACAGTGTTACCCCTTTCGTTTTTTTTCATTTTTGGGCAAAAATTAAGTTTCTCCAATCTTCTCAAAACTCTGGATTCTTATAGAGGGCTGTGAGACTTTGACCTGAGTGCAAAAATGGATGATCTAGACCCTTCCAGAGCTGAGATATCAAACTTCAAAATTTCGACCCGAAAAAAAAAACGACAGTGTTACCCCTTTTGTTTTGTTTTTTCATTTTTGGGCGAAAAATTAAGTTTCTCCAATCTTCTCAAAACTCTGGATTCTTATAGAGGGCTGTGAGACTTTGACCTGAGTGCAAAAATGGATGATCTAGACCCTTCCAGAGCTGAGATATCAAACTTCAAAATTTCGACCCGAAAAAAAAAACGACAGTGTTACCCCTTTCGTTTTTTTTTTCATTTTTGGGCGAAAAATTAAGTTTCTCCAATCTTCTCAAAACTCTGGATTCTGATAGAGGGCCACGAGACTTTGACCTTAGTGCAACAATGGATGATCTAGACACTTCCAGAGCTGAGATATCAAAATTCAAAATTTCGACCCGAAAAAAAAACGACAGTGTTACCCCTTTCGTTTTTTTTCATTTTCGGCGAAAAATTAAGTTTCTCCAATCTTCTCAAAACTCTAGATTCTGATAGAGGGCGACGAGACTTTGACCTGAGTGCAAAAATGGAGGCTCTAGACCCTTCCAGAGCTGAGATATCGAAACTCAAAATTTCGACCGAAAAAAAAAAACGACAGTGTTACCCCTTTCGTTTTTTTTTTCATTTTTGGACGAAAAAATTAAGTTTCTCCAATCTTCTCAAACTCTGGATTCTGATAGAGGGCCACGAGACTTTGACCTGAGTGCAAAAATGGAGGCTCTAGACCCTTCCAGAGCTGAGATATCGAAACTCAAAATTTCGACCCGAAAAAAAAACGACAGTGTTACCCCTTTCGTTTTTTTTCATTTTTGGGCAAAAAATTAAGTTTCTCCAATCTTCTCAAAACTCTGGATTCTGATAGAGGGGCACGAGACTTTGACCTGAGTGCAAAAATGGATGATCTAGACCCTTCCAAAGCTGAGATATCAAAATTCAAAATTTCGACCCGAAAAAAAACGACAGTGTTACCCCTTTCGTTTTTTTTTCATTTTTGGGCGAAAAATTAAGTTTCTCCAATCTTCTCAAAACTCTGGATTCTGATAGAGGGCTGTGAGACTTTGACCTGAGTGCAAAAATGGATGATCTAGACCCTTCCAAAGCTGAGATATCAAAATTCAAAATTTCGACCCGAAAAAAAAAACGACAGTGTTACCCCTTTCGTTTTTTTTCATTTTGGGCGAAAAATTAAAGTTTCTCCAATCTTCTCAAAACTCTGGATTCTGATAGAGGGCCACGAGACTTTGACCTGAGTGCAAAAATGGAGGCTCTAGACCCTTCCAGAGCTGAGATATCGAAACTCAAAATTTCGACCCAAAAAAAAACGACAGTGTTACCCCTTTCGTTTTTTCATTTTTGGCGAAAAAATTAAGTTTCTCCAATCTTCTCAAAACTCTGGATTATGATAGAGGGCTGTGAGACTTTTGACCTGAGTGCAAAAATGGAGGCTCTAGACCCTTCCAGAGCTGAGATATCGAAATTCAAATTTCGACCCGAAAAAAAAACGACAGTGTTACCCCCTTTCGTTTTTTTTTCATTTTGGGCGAAAAATTAAGTTTCTCCAATCTTCTCAAAACTCTGGATTCTGATAGAGGGCTGTGAGACTTTGACCTGAGTGCAAAAAATGGAGGCTCTAGACCCTTCCAGAGCTGAGATATCGAAACTCAAAATTTCGACCCGAAAAAAAAACGACAGTGTTACCCCTTTCGTTTTTTTCATTTTTGGGCGAAAAATTAAGTTTCTCCAATCTTCTCAAACTCTGGATTCTGATAGAGGGCCACGAGACTTTGACCTGAGTGCAAAAAATGGATGATCTAGACCCTTCCAGAGCTGAGATATCAAATTTCAAAATTTCGACCCGAAAAAAAAACGACAGTGTTACCCCTTTCGTTTTTTTTCATTTT